GGGGGGGGGGTGTGACCCTAGGTTTTCTGTTTCAATGGTCAAAAAAAGTGAAGTTTCTAGAAGCAGAGGGCGCGTAATTCCCTTTTTTCCTATTAGTTTTCGGAAGCAGGGGGGTTATGCGCCCCACGTCCCCCTCCCTACTTACGCTACTGCCCACACCCACCCATGCCCATACCCATTATCGTACCTACGCCCACCCCCACACCCTAAAATCAACGTCCTCGACATTTCTCCTTTTCGACTAAAGTTGGGATTACCGAGAAATATATATAACTTTTTTATTATAAAACTCTTGATTATTCTAATTAGATTCTTCGTACTTGTTCTGATCAATTAAAATCATCTTCATCTGATCAAAATCAAATAAAACGTCAGGCATGGCTTATAATTCGTAGTGTTCTTTCTGTTTTAATTTCCAATGATGATGATCATGATCTTATTACACATCTATTAAATCATTCAAGGTAGAATAATTCTTACGAATTTTTCTTTTCAATATAATTTTTCTAATTAGTTTTTTAAATGGTAAAATATCCGAATATCCACCAATATGGAATACAAATATTGAAATAAAATCTCGTCATGGTCATATTTTATTACTTCAATGTCTTCATCAAGCTGCAACATGTAAAACTTTACCTGATGATGTTTTATCTACATTAAAATCTACGATTCAACATTATACACTTGTTTCCGTAACACAACAAACAGGTCCTTTATCTTCTGATACTTATAATACAAATGAAAATATTGATTGTTCAACAATTTTAATCGATAGTATTGTTTCTTGTTATATTGATATTGATGATGAATTAAATTCTATTGGTCGTGTATCATTTGAGAAATTATTTAATACATTATGTATTATATTTAATAATGATTATCAACGTATAACACAATTACCATTAATAAATTATTTAATAAATACATTATATAATCATTGTCATGATCGTATGTGGTATTCAAAACAAGGTTCATGTCGTTTTCTCTATGATTTATGTATAAAATATTTTCCGAAAGAAAACGAATGGTTCTTAGAAAATTTCAATAAAATTTTTCATGGATTTTTTCATGTAATTATATCATTAACTGATGAAATCTCATCGGGTACATTAGATATAATATCGAATATGATAAAAGAATTTCTTAATAAATATGTTCTTATAAAATCAAGTGAAAATATTATTGAATTATTACTTAATTATATATTTTCTCCAATAAATTATATACGTAATTTAATTTATGATTGTTTACGTCAATTAAGTAATTTATATCAACAATCCATCTCACGTTTAATTGAACCATTTAAAAATGAATTAATAAAAAAATTTTCTTCATTAAATATTTTACCATTTAAAAATCAATCATTAATTTATCAAATAACGTATCTGGATGTTTATATTTATTTTCGTACAATTGAACCAAAAATAAGTTATATACAATTATTTGATAATGATTTATTTAAAGAATTAACAACATTAATACTTGAAGATAATGATAATTTATGTAAATTATCATCATATCGTTCATTAACTCAACAACAATTAATATTAAATATAATTTCATTAAAAAAATTATCATTACGTACAATAGGTGAATATCATGAACAAATTGAATATCGTGATCAAGTTTTACGTTTTTTTTATAAAATTTTAATAACAATACAGTCAAATGAATTACAATTAATTGCATATGAATCAATAGAAAAAATTTTTAATGGACATCAAAATGATCAATATCGTGTACTTTTTGTTGATTCATATATGCAACAAATATCATTTTATGATAATGAAAAATTAAATTTAACACCACAAATAGCACAAACATTATTTTATTTATCGAAATTATCACCAAATTCATTTGATGAACGTCCTTGTGAACAAATATTTAATTTAATACGAAAATTAATACAAACAGTTGCACAAACATTTCGTTCATCATTTGATATACAAAATCAATTCTATAAAACTTGTTTAATTTTATTAGATTTATTAGCAACATTACCAACTTCATCGAAAAAAATTATCGAATCATTAACAATACTTATTTTAAAATTTGATAAACATTTTATGATTGAAGTAAGATTTAAAATAAATATTCCCAATTATATTCGAAACAATCAGATAGATTCAGTGTTTTATCTAGCGGGTGGGGTGGTTGGGTGCCGCCCACCGGAAAAAATACAGTAGTTGTATATTTTGAGATGGTCCGACTGGGCGCTGAATGAACGCCGCCCACCCTAAATTTCGCGAAACTTCACAATGGTCTCTGTTAGGGTACGACGGTTTCAAAAAAATGGAACCGCTCTTTTCTCATTTCCACTGACCGGAGTCGGTTCCCGGTAATTTTTGGAACCGCCATACTTTAGTCTCTGCACTTCATGCGATATAATAAAAAAAATAGAGACAAGTTGTATTGAATATATGGTTTTCTATTATTTTTGTTTTTTGTTTCTAGTCAAGTAGTGCCTGTCGTAAACATTTAATTGAATTATTAACTCGTCATCCACAATTAAGTCTTGATCAATTTATTAATGATGAAAATCGTTTACGAGATTTACAATGGAGTCGTCTTTTTTTGGATCTATTAAAAAGTTCATCATCAACAAATATTCAAACATTTGTTCGTACGAATTGGCTTGATCGTTTTCGTCAAATTCTTAGTGAACATATTGTTTTTATTGAAACAAATCATAATATTCCATCTATAATTTGTATTACAATTCGTTCATTAGCAATATTAGCTCGTACAGATCAATTATGGTGGTCAAGACAACATGAACTTGTTTCACTTTTATTACGTTTATGGCGTTCAAATACATTTCAACAACATTCATTTATTTCTTCGGAACACTTTGATTCATTTTGTTCCAAAGAATTAAATAATGTTCTTAATCTTTGTTTAATTTATTATCAATATCAACCTGAACGTATTCGTTTATTACTTGAATTAACACGTATATATTCATGTACAGAAAAATTATTTTATCCAAAAAAATTCTTTCATTTTATTCAAGAAGTTGTTATTAAAACATATTCATTAAAATGGAAACGTGATACATTATCATCATTTATATTATTACGTAATGATGAATCTTATACATTAGAATGTAAATCATTATTTTTTGAATATATTCTATTACCATCATTTACATATGAATTTGAAAATAATAAATCACAGATAACAAATGAATTATTTCAAATAAATCCAAATACAGATGAAACAATTATTGATTTATTTATTCGAACAATGATTGATACAAAATATCTTCATCAAATCAATGATAAATATCGTATATGTTTATTACGTTTCTTATGTTTATTTCTTGAATATAATCCACAAATAATTTGTGATACAAATTCGACAACAACAAATAAACGTGATAATGAAAAAATTCGTCGTCTTATGGAATGTGCCTATGGTACATTATTAATGAATAATATTGATCCAACATATAAATGTCAAGCACATTTACTTCTTTGTTATATTATTTCAAAATATTCCATTGTTAAAAAAATTATTATGCATGTTTTTAATAGTTTATTAAAATCTTATATAATTGATGCAAAATATTTAGTTCGACAAGCAACTGATTTATTAATACCAGCTATACCAATAAGAATTGATGATGGTTATGAAATTTTAGCTTATTGTACCAAAAAAATACTTTCAGATGATGCACATGGAAATTTACAATTAATACATATTATGACAATTATTGTACGTCATCAAATAATTTATTTTCATGTTCGATATACATTAGCAAATTTAATGATACAATCCGCACAAAAAATAGCTGGACAACAAACAAATTCAGCTGAACAAAAAAAATTAGCTATTGATATTATTGAAGTTATTATTAAATGGGAATTACGAAAACATTTTGAACAAATCAATGATCAACGAACTTTTAATCGTTCATTAATAGATACAATTTTCGTTTTTCTTATAAGACATGCTTGTCAAATTAATATGCAAAATATGATACCACTATCACAACAATGTATTCGATTATTTAAAATTGCAAGAAAATTTGCTTGGCCAAATATTGATGTTAAATTAGCGACTTTTGAAAGATTAATACATCAAATTGTAAGTAATAATTAAAAACTGTTCGAACCGGGAGAGATGATATTCCTCCCAAGTTTGAGTCTTGATTGAATATTTTGGCCTGAGCTATAGTGGATCACTGGCCACCCAAACAGAGTTGTCTTAAATCAAAACAGTTGGTTCCTCCTCGGAAGTCTGAATCTCTGTTAAAATGGATTCCACCCGATAGATAGCGGCGGCGCCAGGAATCTTGACTAGAGTGGGCTCAGGCCTAATAAATTTCAAACAGGGTGGGCTCAGATACAATATTATTGGTTTTTTTAAGATCTGAAAAAAATTTCAGGATGGGCTCAAACAATTTCAGGGTGGGCTGAGCCCACCCCAGCCCACCCTTGGCGCCGCCAGCACCGATAGATAATCATTCTCATATTAACTAAACATTATTTTAATCTAATTCTTTTTTTGTTATTAAGGAATCACCCAATGTTACCGCTCATAATTCAATTGCCATTGCTATTGATCTTCTCGCTTTTCTTATATCAACATTTACTGTTATTCAAATAAAATATACTATGCGTACATTAAAACGTTCTTTAATAACATGTATATCAATAACAAATAATGCACGTTTAGTGGAATCAATGCAAAATCTCTTTAGTAAATTAATCGTTCAAATTCCTATTGAACCACCGGCAGCAATTATTCCAACAACAGCAACAAATAATCAATCAGGTTTACCAACACAACTTGTTCAAGCAACTTTAGCTTCATTAGCAACAGCTTCAACACCAGCAAATAATTTACATTTATCAACATCTATCATAAATAAAAGTGAAGATATTGAACAATTCTATACAGTTATAACAAAAACCATTATTGATAATATGAATAGTACAGCAACATCAATTGTTAATACAACCGATAGGTATGAATGATTTTATTCTCTACGAAAATCAATAAACAAAAAAAGCACATAGAATTAAGAAAAAAGAAAGATGAAAGCTAGAGTATTAATTGTCTTTTTTTGTCTAAATTAATTTTATAACTAAAAAATGTAATTTAAAGAGTAGAATTTTTTAATTTTCAGGAGTATTTTCACCATGTGAAAAATTTTTTCGTGTACATAAATCAATAGTACCACCTGATAAAATCATACTAGCTAAGAAAACAAGAAATAAAACACACGACATTGATAAACAAACAATTGATAGATCTCTATCAATACGTGTATAACGTGTCATTAAATCTCCATCACTTGTTCCATATATACTTTTCCATCCAGCTATTATTGTTGAATATGTTGCAATTAAAAATATTGTTAAACATATTGATAATAATGAACAAACAAAAAATGATAGAATCGTTGAATAACTTTCTCGTAGACCACTAACTATACCTAATACACCTGTAGCAAAGAATATTAAACCAAATAGAAGTGTAGCAGTGGACCATGGCCACATCCAACGATTTTCAATTTTTGGATTGTAATAATAACCATTGATATCAATTGTTCTTTCTGGATACATTAAATATTCATAGGTTACATTTGAATCATTTCGTCCACGATTATTTGAACCTGAGTAAAGTCTTCCAAGTTCCGTTGAAAATAAAGCAAGTGTAAAAAATAGAATTAAAGCACCAAGTATTATACCAAATGTACGAAATGAATATGAATCTTCAGATGAAGTCACTAACTGACGATCACCACCATATTTACCTACACGAGGTTGACCCTGAGGTGCAGCATGAAAATATTGAGTTGTATAATGATGATAAAATGTTGGAGGACGAACGTTTGTTGTATACATTGACATAATGAAATGATATTTAAGTCTAAACTAAAATATCCTTGTTAGATTTTGGTTTTTTTTTCTAAGTTCGTTTGTTTACCTGTGATGATAGTGAACCGGTTGACCGATTGTATGAGGAGACAGAGAATAGAATGAATATGAAGGAGAAATATATGAATGATATATAAAGGGAGAGAGAAGGAGAAAGAAGAAGATATATGTTTAGAAGTTCAGACTGAGTAAGGACATTTTCATACTCATCCATGCATGTCCATTGTCCGATAGATCACCTATAAGACTATAAATTTCTTTTTTGAAACAAATGAATACCTATTTGTATTGTTTATATATACATCGGTTGAAAGCTTTTGATGAAAATTCTATGTCAAAGAATGTATTGGTTATATCTAATTAAAAAAAAACAAGAGAAAAGGAATCTAAATAATATTTTACTAAAATAAAAATAAAAAAACTTCCAAAAATATTTTATGGGTTTTTGTAAAATTAAAAGAATGTCTAATTTTTGATCTGAAATTCGTTAAAAGTACTTTTGTTTTTGTAGTGCTAGAACTACAATTGGAGCTAATGCAACAAATGTTTCAGCAGCAGGATTTGGTTCTATTCATACGCTTCCTGTTGCATTTGGTTATTTGAAAATAATCGAAAAACAGCAGCCAAAATATGTTGATAAATTGACACCACATATTACTAAATTATTACAAAAATTAATTAAAGATCATACAAGTGCGGGTGTTGATTATAATGCTGGTAAAGAAAAAGACAAATGAAAAAAAAATATTCTATTTAATTATATATCAATTCTTTTTTTTATTTTAAATAGCATTTACTGAATATATTGTTGAATGTCTCACATTACTTAAATATCGTATTGGTCAATTAACAAGTGATCTTCGTAAACAATTTATGAATAATTTTTTACCAGTAAGTAAATTTAAATTGTAAATATGATAGTAGAAAATAGTTTTCTTGATTAATGTCGAAGAATGATACGTATTAATTGTTTTATTCAATGTGAAATACTGAGATAGAGATAATCTATGTGAATATCATGTATCAATCGATTTTACGATGTTTGTATTGATAAGTCCTTTAATTTTTGTCACTATGACTTGACTTAATGAATATCAAATAGCTTCTCATAGTACTGAATTTTTTCTTGCCAGTACTACTGAAGCTCAAGAGGGCAACATATAGTAAACATTTATTTACTTCTTTAAAAGTTAACTTGTACAATCTAGGGAATTATAATAAAATGTTCATAACAGAGATATTCATCATGATTAAAAAAATCTCCTCAATCTCGATAGTGTTATTAAAACTAATGTATCATTGTCACACCATCCTTACTATTGTGATAAGATCATGATAAGCATCTAAGATGGATATATTACGAATGACTTTTATAAGCATGAAATGAAACTGATTAGATTTTCACAATATAGCGTAAAAAAATATTCCATATATTACTATTAAATTTAATAAGTATTTTTGTTAACAGATATATAAAGTTAAAACGAATTTTATAGTGCCTTACAATATATTCTAAACAGAAAGAAAGAAAGATCTTATCCTGTTCATTCTCTATTATTTATAAGTTCACTAAAATCAACCTGACATCTATCATTAAATTTTAGTGTTTAATCGAAAAGTCCCATGATATAACTCTTGTTCGAGCTATAATTCGTCTCGTCTATGATTGGCTTAAATGGCGTGGTGATGTACAGTTAGTTCCATCATTAAAAGAAAAATCTCAATTACTTCTTAAACTTCTACAATGTATCGATAAAAGTGGACGTTTTCATCAACATCAACAACAACAACAGCAGCAGCAACAACAGCAACAACAAATAAATGAAAATGATCTAACAAATAGTTTTCTCGAACTTATTTTACATGTTTATCAAGAATCGAATTATCGTGAATTATGTATTAAATTAGAAGCAGCATTTATTCTTGGTTTAAAATCAACAAATCAACAATTACGAAAACAATTTTTTCTTATCCTAGATAAAAATTTACGAAAAACATTACATGATCGATTATTATTTATATTTTTATCACAAAATTGGGAATATCTTGGACAACATTACTGGATTAAACAATGTCTTGAGGTAATTTTAGAAAGAAAGAATTTTTTTCTAGAACAAAAAACAAAATATGATAATTTTTAGTTATTTTATACATGTGCTTCATCAACAATTCCATTATCAATTGTCGATAATCGTACATCTGTTTTACCTTCATTAACATCTGTAATAAAATCTGGAGAATTTTATGATCGATATGATTTTATGATTGATTATGTTAAAACAAAAAATCCATCGGCAATTGAAAATGTTGTGGTTAAAACTGAACAAAATCCTGATGTATCTATTAAAATGGAAGTTAATGATAAACCATCAACACAAAATCCAGCTTATTCTATCATCTCAAATGCACTCGGTGTCACGGCAATGAGTACACTTGTGACAAAGTAAGTTTTAGTTAAAGGATTAAATTATCTACAAAGAATAAAATATGTTATTTGTTTAGAAAACAACGTTCATCATCAATTTCTATAAATGAATCAAAAGTGAAACATTTCAAACGAACAATATCATTTGAAAACATACGTCGTTTACCAACTGATCAAATTTCGGATATATTTGAACGTGAAGCAACAAATAAAATACAATTAACGGAATTAATTAATGATGAAATCAACTTTCTAAAGAATCTTTCGTCGATACAATTAAAATCCAATGATTTATTTGATTCTATAATACAATTTTTACATACAAATAATTCAGTTATTATTGATAAATTAACTCATCATTTATTTATTGATATTTTACCAAAAATTCTTCGTCTTATACCAGAGAAATATCGTATTATTCTTTTTCAACAAATAATTCAACCATTTTTTGTTAGTGGAACACATTTACAACAACGTGATCTATATCCATACAGTTCATTGAATACTATACTTGAAGCTTTTTATTATATGTTTAAAAATAATAATAATATATCAGAATTTGTACCTATTATACGACCAGTTATACTTAAATATATTGGTAAAACACACAATACATGGCATAGAAGTATTCTATTACTTGAACAATATATATTAGATCAACAACCTAATCATGGTAAGTTATTTCTTTACTTATACAAAATTAAGCATATGTATCAATGTATGAAAATACTTGAAAAGCTAAATAATTCAACTATTTTCTCTTTTGTATAGATTTTTAACCTAGTTCTTTTATTTATAATGTAAATTGCTTAGTTTTGCTGTCCTAAAAATCAACTCCTAATCTTGCAGTTCGTGAAATACTTTTTTAGTTCAGTATATATACAAGAAATATAAATCTGAAAAAGAAGTAATTCTAATTTCCATATATATGAGACGTAGTGATTCCAACATTCATATTCAATAAGAAATTTTTCTTTCATAAAAATTGTTAAAGAAAAATAAATTAAAGTTCATCTTCATATATTTTCATTTCTTTTCTGATAATTTTAGAATCTTTAACCAATGATGAAACTTACAATGAATCATTAAATTCTCTTAGCGAATTATATGAACATTTAAATGAAGATGATTATAATATAAGTCTTTGGTTATATCGTCAATTTACACCAAATATAAAATTATTAGTTTCTAATGCATTACAATATGAACAACTCGGTCAATTTCAACAAGCACTTGACTATTATACACAATCAATAAAACTTCTTGAAACTGATCAAATTTCTTTTGTTTCATCATCATCATCTACGCCATTTTTTCAATTAGATGAATATTCATTTCTTGAACAACATTGGATAAAATGTACTAAAGAATTAAATCAATGGGATACATTAATGTCTTATTGTAAACAACAAAGTAATCGTGATCATTTACTTTATCTTGATTGTACATGGAGATCAGCAAATTGGTCATTAATGAAAGAAACACTTGGACAACTCGATGCTATGTGTAATGGTACAAATATGAATTTAACAAATTCATCTATTCAAACATTTCAATTTTTAAATCAAAATCCAACATTAACACAATCAACAATTATATCAAATATCTTAACAGTAAAAGATTTTCAATGGAAATTTGCTTTATATCGTTGTTATTTAACATTATGTTCAACAATAACAAATACAGATGATCCAACAATATATCAAACAACAATGAATATAACTGAACGTTTAATTGATTATTCTTCATTAAATGCATTAAAAGAATGGAAACATTTACCAAATTATATTTCAAATTCACATTTAAATCTATTACAAGCATCACAACGTATTATTGAATTACAAGAATCTGCACAGATATTATTAAATATACAAACAAATACAAATAATAATAATAACAGTGGTGGTAATAATAATAATACATCAACATCAATTATATCAACAACAACAACAAATGGTAATACATCAACAACAACAAATATTCGACAAACAACAAATATACATGAACTTCGAACAATTGTTAAAACATGGAAAAGTCGTTTACCATTAATAAATGATTCATTAAGTTTTTGGAATGATATATTTACTTGGCGTGAACTTCAATATGGTACAATAAGTTCTCAATCTGATAAAGATATCAATGGAACAAATACATCATTAACAAGTAATACAAATACTGGTACAAATACTGGACAATTTTTACTTGGTATTCATGCTATTGCTCAATCAATTACACAGTTAGGCAAAATTGCACGTAAACATCATATGCCTAATATATGTATGGAAATTTTATCAAGGTAAATTTATTTGAAATAAGAATAATATAATGACTTCTATATAACTTCGTATCTAACAAATTCAAAGTTGAGAAAGTAAAACCATCATGTATTTTTAAGCAAGAGCAAAACTCAAGAATAGGGTCTGGCGCGACCATCCCGATCCCTATCCCGTCGGGAGCGGGATCAAAACCCCGACTACATTTGATTAGTTTTCTATATTGAGATATATATCTTATTTATTATTTTTAGAATTGGTACTGTTATACCAAGTGTACCTGTAGTTGATAGCTTTCAAAAAATTAAACAAATAATAAAATGTTATTTAATTTTACTTCCAACATTATCTTCTGATGATGTTCAAGATATATTTGATCTTATTGAACAGGCGAATACAAAATATTTTACTAAAGATATGATGAGTGAATTCTATTCTTTAAAAGCTGTAGCTTATTCAAAATTAGATCGTCATGATGAATCACAAAAACTTTTTAGTCGTTCAACACAATTATCTGATACAAGTTTAACTCGTACATGGATTAATTGGGGTGATTTTTTACTTAAGCAATCAACAATTTTTAATGATGATGAATCAATCCTTGTTTGTTATTTAAATGCATGTAAAGATTTAAATGAAATTAAAGCACGTTCAATATTATCGAAAATGTTTTATTTACTTTCACGTGATAATGAAAATGATAATAATAATAAATTATCTATATGTATTGAACGTTATTTATCTTTAATACCTGTACAACATTGGTTATTTTGGTTACCACAAATATTAAATAAATTGATACGTAATGAATCTAGTCAATGTATGTTTGCTATTTTAACTGAATTAATACGTTTATATCCGCAAGCTGTTTATATTCAAATAAAAAAGAATTATAAAAAATTAATCGAAAATAATCAAGAAGAAAAACAAATTCCAGAAACACCAACAACACCAACAATTGAAAATACTTTAAATTTACCAACAATTTCAATTCGACAACAAGCTATTAATAATTTAAAACGTTTAGAACAAATTTTACTTGAACAACATCCAACTATTGTACGAACATTAGATATTATTATTGAACAATTACATACTATAAATGAAACATTTTTTGAATATATGATTAAACGTTTATATGAATGTCAAAGAAAAATTTATCAAGATTTATTTGAAAATAGAAAAATTTTATCGAATGATATTAAATTAATTATTCAACATATAAAAGATCTTTTAAATAATGATGAAAAAGAATTTCAACATATGAAACAATTAAAAATACAATTCTGGAATGATTTTAATGAAAGGTTTGTTTTCTATATAAAATTACATTGTAGAAATAATACGATCGATCTATTTCTATCTCTTCTAGTGTACTTAACAATACTCATATATCTCGATCATTTATCCTTTTAATCAGTAAATGGATATCTCTTATTGAACGTCGTATTGAACAAACTGAACCACGTATAAAATATTTGAATCAAACAAAATATTTACATTTACTTTCATTCAATTCTCAAATAACAAATGATATAAATATGCCTGGTGAATTATGGCATGCTCCAGAAGCAAATTTTTACTTTCGTATCAATAAATTTTTTCCAACTATTGAACGTATATATAAACATGAACGTTATTTTAATCGTATAACAATTCGTGCACATAATGGTAAAATAATGTATTATATTTTATCAAATAGTTATCAAACAATATCTATTGATAAATGTAATTCTCAATGGGAATTAGAAGAAAATACAATACAATTTCTTAAAATGATTAATAATATATGTATACGTAAAGAAAAAGAATTATTAAAAAGACATACACAAATATTTTTTCCACATTTATGTACATATTTACCATCATTACGTTTAATTGAAGATAATCGTTCAACTATAAATTTAATTGAGATATATAATGATCGGCTAATGCTATCAATAAAAAAATATTATGAATTATTAGATGATAATAATGATAATTTATTAAATATTTATCAAGTAATACAAAATGAATATTTTACTAATAAACAATTATTACATCAATGGACATTAAACGAATATTCTAATGCAACTGGCTATTTTTCATTTCGAAAAATTTTTACTATATCAATAGGTTTTTATTCAACATTAAACTATATATTTGGTTTTAATATGTATACAAATAATCAATTAAATATACAACGTTCAATAGGAAATATTAATCCATTATATCTTAAATTACAATATGATTCAAATAAACAAGAAGAAAATATTTATTTAACACCAAATATTGATACATTTATTAACTGTTTTGGTAAAATGGGACCACTAACAGGAACGATTCTAGCAACATTAACAGCATTAGCACAACCTAAACATCAAATTGCTGAATATTTAAAGATTTTCTATAAGGAAGATATACATATAAAAGTAAATATTAATTTATATTCAATAAAAAATATTTTTTATTATTCTGTTTTAGCAACCAGAACTGACACAAAAAGAATGTGTTAACCTAGTTGAAGATATTGCTCATCAATTGGAAACAAAATTGAATCGTATGTTTTTCGTACATATATTCTTAATTCAATATTTATTTTCATTTTCATTTTAGAATTTACTAATTTTGATGTATCGAAAACAATAGTTTCTCAACTTGTGCAAAAATCTACAGATATCAATCAACTTTCACGTCTTAATCCGCTTTATTATCCTTGGTTATAAACCATCCAACAAACCGGTTATTATTATTATTATCATAGATGAATTTTCTTATTTTCATGTTGATGTTTGTATGTATGTTGATGTATATAAATCACATGTTATAATGTGTTGAGCATGATACTCTCATTAATTTTTCGTTTGCGCGTTGTTATATTTTGTATAGGATAAAAGAAAAAGTGATGCAACAAAACAACAATGATATTAAAAACATAATGACTTTCACATTTTCTTTTTTTGAAGATTCTAGATAAATGAATTCAAACGACCTTGTTAAAAATATTCTTCAACGAGATGTTGATGAACAAGATAGAATATTAAAATCAACTGAAGTTATTAAAGCATGTCCAGTTGAAATTGATCTTGGTAATTTACTTGTTTGGGATCCAAATGCCGTTGACCAACAAGCATATAAGTATATAATAATTTAATAAAAATCAAAAGCTTAGTTTCTAAACGGTGGACTAACTTTTTAATATATTATTTATTTAGAGAAAATCGAGAAGAATACATAAAAAATACAATGCGTGATAATATGCAATTACTTGTCAATGCTTTATGGGAGGTATGTTAATTCAATCAATGTCGTATACAGAAATTTTTATTATTATTTTAGGTACCTATTGAACGACATGATAATGCAATTGTTGCTAAACTACCAGACGCAAAAACTATTGTACCACGAGAAAAACCAGTTAGAAATAATTTTATCTAATTTTATCATTTAAAATTTAATCTCATTTAGGTTCCTAAACCAAAACCTTTAACTAAATGGCAAAAATTTGCTCAAAGTAAAGGTATTGTCAAACAAAAGAAGAGTAAATTCGTTTGGGATGAACAGAAAAAAGAATGGGGTCGTCGTTTTGGTTATAAAAAAGCAAATGATGAATCAAAAGTATGGCTCATGGAAGTACCAACCAGTGCTGGTTTGTTAGAAAATGATTTTTTTTATTTATTTTCTATATATTCATTCCTTTAGATCCGAATGAAGATCAATTTGCTAAAAAATCAGCAGCGAAAAAAGAACGTGTAGCTAAAAATGAATTTCAACGTCTCAAAAATATTGCCCGTGCAAACAAAATAAACGGTAAATGAAAATTATTTACTTACTTTAAATTCCAATGAAATATGTCTAGACATTTGTAGCTATACAATTTTTATGCCATTTTACTTTCGTAATGATAACACTATATTATTGTTCGAATAATATCTGATAGTTTCTTTAAATTACTTTACCTAACTAGCAATATCTTTTTCTACATTCTTTGGAAGTATTTGAAAAGTGAGGAGTAATGAAATAATACAGTGTCTTGTAGAATAATGCAATAGGCTATTTGAATGTTTTCGAATTGATACGATGAATCTAATTTTATTCTCAAAGACAAACTATATTTTGATAAGTCCTACCTTATATGAAAACATTCTGTCACTTTCACATCTCTATAAGAGTTATAATCATTATCAAGTGAGTTAGGAAGGCCGATTGATAATTTGATGTGATATAAATATATCCATTAATCATTATAACTATTAACCGCACGTAAAGAAAACTAACAAAAGAACCAAAAAACAAGTTTTTCTAACATGAATAATAATTTTATTTTAGTTCGAAATGACGGTGCGATTATCAATAAAAAATCAACAACTAACGATGTAAGTGAACATATATTTTTTCTTTTTGAATTTCGATGTTTCTGTTCTATTTTATTAAGGTAAAAAAAGCTTTAGCAACAGCCAAATATTCTGATGCTAGTATGGGTCAATTCTCTGAACGTGCCGTAGCTAATGAAGAACAACAAACACGTGGATTTAATAAAAAACGAAAATATGAATCCAATTTAGGTAGTTTGAAAAATGAAAAAGATAAGCAATTAAAGATTTTTGAACAATTGGGCTCATCAACAACGAAATAAAGTTGTTTATGTTCTTTTTTTTGTTGTTATCTGTTTTGATGAAATATTTTCATGTATTATCTTTGATACTAATAAAACTAAGATCTATGTCAATGATGAATAAAATAATTTCACACTGAAAAATAAAATCATAAATGGAAAACTAGATATTATTGTTTCATTCGAATAATATAAAAAACAAGTTTATCTATCAATATCTTATATGATTTTGCTCCTTTTTAATTAATAATAATGGTTCATTAGAATATATTTTACGTGTAGGTATATATTATCTGGAGAATATTCAATCTCAATCAGTGGTTTATCCAGCGGGGGGGGGGGGGGGGACGGGGCTTTTTGCCCCCTCGGAGGATACCTCTGCCCCCCCCGGAATTCAGAAAAATTACGCTTTTTGCGCCTGAAACTCTATGTTTGCCACCCCGAAGAGAGATTTTTGCCCCCCCCCGGCAATTAGTTTTGCACCCTCGGACGAAAAAAGCTGGATAAAACACTGATCTCAATAATATCTGACTAAATTTAACTGGAATAAAAAAGTAATTATACAGTACATGAAGGTAGGTCAATGAGACGAACGACTATCGATGATTCTCTAGTTGAACAATTATATGATATGCGTTCAGGAATTGTTTTTCATATAACCTGTATCTATTCTAAGATTTTAAATACAAAGCTTTGCTAAATTAAATATTGTGGTCTCTATCTTCTTATGCAGCTACCTCCATTGAACGAATAGCAACAAGCATGAAAACAAAGAGAAGAAGTCTTAGAATATTTCTGAACAGTTTAGTCCAAAAAGTTAGATTTACAAATTACTGACATTTTCATTATTACAAGGCCAGTCCTTCTGATATTTAGTTGCCGAGCAGGTATCTAGACAGTAGCACACTGAATAGTTAATTACAATCATTTTTGAAAAAAAAATGATTCTTTTTCTCTTATGTCTGCAAGCAAAGTATTAACATGGAAATATATGTTAATAGTCTGCGTTATTTTTCCGTCAAATCTCAATGAACTTCACTATTCAGTGCTTGGAAATGCAAGTACATCCAGTAAAGCAGTATAAAAAATGAAAAATAATTTAGTAGAGCACTAAAAAGAAAGACAAAGACAGTAACGGATATCACGACGCAGTGGTTCGAGCGAACATAAAACGAATCAACAATTGTACTCGAATGTCTCTAAAAATTCAGTAAAGTGTCCAACATATTCCATAATAAGAATCGACATTGAATCCGAAGACTCATGATTTGATAAGCAATCTGAGATACGTTCTAGTACAACTACATGTAGGGCAGATCGTTTTGAACGATATTATGAAAACATCTGTAGTATATCGGTTTGATCACATCATTCTTATACGGAACAAGAAATTTAAGAATTAGTAAAATATTTAATTATGTCTTTCTCTCTATCTTTGTGAATGGACAAAGATAGTTCACAAAAGAAAATTTTATATAAATGTAAGTTTTTCTGGTTTCAGCTGATATTCAATCTGGAAAAGTTATACTTGAATAGAATATCATTCAGATAGATTCAATAATGTTCAATACGAATATTTTTAAAAAATTTATTAATACTAAACAATCGTTCTTCATACCTGTCAACACCGTCATCTTATTCAAATAATCAATTAAAATTCAGTCTTGCACTTAATAGAAGCTTAGCTAATATAGAGAAAAGGTTTCCTTTTCGTCCGGAATTTTTTTTTAACAAGCCCATAATAAAATGGCTCAAACAACAAATGGATGTACGACTGTTGGATCAAACTGCAATGTCATTGTGTTTACTTGGCATGATAGGTCACCTTTCTTCGAAAATATATGTTTATCGAAATAATCGTGAAGCAATTCCAAATAATTCATATAGTTTTCTGGTTTGCGGTTCTGGTATGTATATTTTAATACTATTTTATAGGGTAGGTGTTTACAGAAGATATTGAATACGTTATTATAACAATACACCAAAACTGGTAACAGCAATGATTGAGTACCTCAGCTTAGGAGTCTGAGAAAATCGAATCGTTCTAGGATGTTTAATAACGTATTAAAGGTCTATTATTTGAGCCTATAGCCGATCCGATAGCGATTTCATACTTCAGGATATTTCCTCCTCAGTAATATTGATAATTTAAAACATTTTTTTTAGTATACATTTATCCCAGATGATGATTTCTGAAGCAGTATTCCATGAATTTCCGACTGAAACTCGCAGGAGTCTGATGACCGGGTCTGTTTACTGGAATACTGCTTACAGGAAATCTCCAGAATCGTCTGGAGTCAACCGTTTACGAGCCGGATTGTTCGATCTGGGATCGCAACAACATTATTTATTGAACGCAGTGATATTATCCGCGTTATGATACAAACTGTTCCTTATAAAATTTAAAATAATTTTTTTATTGTTTTATTTTGTTGCTTTATAGTAAAGATCTTTATGATGAATTTCAAAGTCTTTATCTTGATAATAAAAATTTGATTTGATTTCTCATTTATAGAAAAATACAAAACGACTTATAGTTCTTAAAAGAATAAAAATTGAATCGTAATGAACAAATAAATGAACAAGAAAACGGAATTGTAATTTATGAAAAAACACATTTAAGTGATATTAATAGTTGGTTATCCTTTTTTATTTATTTCGAATTTTTTTTATAATAAGAGTTCGATCAGCTGAGAGTGTAGGTGCTGTACTCATCTAATATGCAGACTCATATCTTCGCCCTCTCCCACAGCCTCAGCAAATGATGTTTATAAAATAGACCGACTCAAGCTGTCTTCAATCTTACTTTCAATTCAATATTTCTCTGAAATAGCCACCATATAAAACGTTTGACTTAGAATACCTTTGTCACATTGTTCTGCAAAAAAAGTATAAGTTTTAATTATTCATCGTTGGTATTTACACCCTCTTCCAACCACATGTTTTAAATAAACAATAAAAAAAACAACCACTTTTTTTCTTTCACTGAGTATGCTGCATCATAATCATATTCTATCAAAGTTCGAAGACGGAGTGTGAAAGTGACTTGAAGGGCTCCGTTTTCGCTCACTGCCGCTCCAAGTGGCGCATGTGTACATTTTTAAGGGACACCAACCATTGTGAGTCACCAATGGCAATAACCAAACATAGTGTGAGTGTGGATATCTGGTGGTGTCGCTACTTTATTTATCTGACACCCACCCACCCTTAAGATGATTTTTGCGATTCCTTTAATAAAAGAACAATAAGTATGTGCGAACACAGTTTGTTACTATCGTTTTTTTAGTAACCAAGTGGAAATCCTTACCTGTGATCAAAATTTTCACATTTTTTATGCACCCTCGTATCCCTAAACTTCAATCAAGCAACACGGTACTTCTACCTATTTGTACAAGAAGGACATTTTTTCGCTGCCTTTTTTCTACTACCTTTCTTTTTTCAAACGCATAGTTGCACCATCAAAAGAAAAAGAAAACACACGTAAAGTAAATACGCATTTCAAAAAAAGAAATAAAAGCAATAACACACCATACATTTCAACAGTTTCTATCAAACACAAACAAAATTATGACAAGCTTGGTTACATTACCGGTAGAGCTTGTCTACCGAATTTTGGATCATCAGGATGATTTCACTCTAGTATGTTCTATGCAAAATGTGTGTCGGCGACTCAACCAAATCGTTGACACCTACGATCGATATAAGGTAAGGCCTTTTTTCATCAATCTTCAAGTTTTTTTTTCACCCTAACGATCGGTAAGCCTTATAAAATAGTAGACAACTAACCTAGTGTGAGATATGCGAATTTATCACTCCACAGGACAATGATTCAGTTTAATCTACCGTCACGCGAAGACGCATTTCGTCGATAACGAAATTCACTAAACTGATGCTACAGGCAACAATTGTGTTCTGGATAACTACTCTATGATAGCAAATCAGTTGATCCACAAGTGAGACGACTTTCAAGGCAGATGGCTACGATATCATTTGGTTGCCATCTTAAATAGGTGCCAACTAACATGGCTACCAACTCAGGTAGTTACCAACTGAAACGGTTTCTAACTGAGATGGATGTAGCTGTGTTTTTGAGTGCGGGTATGACATTGACCTTCCTGTGGCACCCGCACCCACAACTAAATCAGAAGTGTGGGACCACAACCTCTCGATCATGCACTACGAAACAGCACGCTAATATTCATTCACTCTTTATTTATTTTACATGACTATTTGTACTTCCTCATATAGACACTCACGACGCTTGATCTCTGTCAAAACTACATCGGAGATGAAGGAGCACAACATCTCGGTGATGCACTACGCAATAATACAGTAATATCCACTCACTCTTTAATTATTTCGCATAACTATAGATACTTTCTTGTATAGACACTCACCACACTAGATCTCTGGGACAGCTACACCACAGCTGAAGGAGCACAATATCTCGGTGATGCACTACAAATTAATACAGTATTACTGATTCACTCTTCGCCTATTTCGTACAACTATTTGTACTTTCTCATATAGACACTCACGACACTAAATCTCGGTTTGAACAACATCGGAGATGAAGGAGCGCAATATCTAGTTGACGCATTACGAATTAACAACGTAATACTCATTCACTCTTCATCTATTTCACATAACTATTTGTACTTTTTATATAGACACTCACGACACTTGATCTCCGTCAAAACTACATCGGAGTTACAGGAGCACAACATCTAAGTGACGCACTACGAATTAACACAGTAATATTCATTCAATATTCGACTATTCCACACAGCTATTTATACTTTCTCATATAGACACTCACCACATTGGATCTCGGAAGGAACAGAATCGGACATGAAGGAGCACAACATCTCGGTGATGCACTTCGAATTAACACCGTAATATTCATTCAATATTCGACTATTCCACACAGCTATTTATACCTTCTTATACAGACACTCACTACACTGCTTCTCGAGGGCAACGAAATCGAAGACGAAGGAGCTCGACATCTCTGTGATGCA